GTCCGCGTGTCGCGTGTCTGCATATTTGTTCGTTTAAAGCGGAATCTCGTGATGTGTCTTCTTCTGCCAGTTTGCAGATTGGTCCGTTCCACTCTGTATCAGGCTCAGTCCTAAGTCAACAGTGCGGTGGAGGCTACGCCCTCGTTGGACCAGTCACGTGATCACGCTACCGCCCATACTTATGCGCAGAGAGCCGGGCCAGGTGATGAAAGGGTGGCGGTTGATTGATTCGGCGAGCTCGTAGCTTCAACCTCACTGTCAGCTTAGGAAGGGGGGCGGGGGCGAACGGACATTAGGCGGATGTTCTTTCGTACTAGCGTCACCATCGACATGTCTGTGTTTACGTTTTCCTGGTAGGTCGCGTCGTTGTATTTGGTCGTGCCAGTACGAGCACCGCACGCTCATTTTTGCACACCAAATATAAGACTGGTGCTCGAGTATTAAATAAAGCCTGGGCGCATTGAAAGAGTTCGCGCAATTTCAATCGTGTCAGCCGAATTCCGAACGAAAGCTCTTCTCTTTTACGTTGCCTCTTCTCCAACGCTCACGGGCACGTTCGATGCCGTGGAGTGTTTCTGGGGGATTTACAGAAATGACTCTTATAAGGACAGTTTGAATGAATAATTCGGAAGATATAAAGGAAGAAAGCTTACGAACGTTGTTAATCATTGTAGATAGTGTCAGGTAACTCAAGTTTCAAGTCCTAAGAAAAATAAATTAATGTTAATGATTACTTGAAGTCCGTTTTATTTTCTTCAAAATTGCGTTTGAAAACTGTAGTAATTTTAACCTATCACAAAAGGGCGCGGCAGCCAAATCATTCTTCGTTTACAAAAAAAGGTTGAAGTCCTGTGACTTGATAATGAACGAGACATAAAATTCCTTTAAGCTTTCTTTTAATGAAATGAGAAGATGACAATAGAAGTTTTCTCGAGAAAGAAGTTAACAGCGTTTCTTAAAAAGAAACTCTGGCAGATTTTTTTTTTAGCTGCCCGAAATATATATATATATATATTATACTTGAACTTTTTTTTTTTTTTTTCGGTAGTATCTCCAGATTTGAAAATCTATCAAGAAAACGGCTGATGAAAGTCATATCAAAACCAGCATTCAAATTTTCCCGCGCTTTCCAGCGGTGTGACGTTGCACATTTTAAAACTCGCAGATCGAGCAGGTTATTCTGAAGAAACGAAAACAAAAAACAAGAAAAAACACAGTATACTCGCGGTCAGCTATCTGTGGCAATGCCGTCAATGCTAGGGAAGAGGGTGCACCTACCGGCGTACACGCGCTTTCCTCCGCATCTTGCTGTGATACTGGAGTAAACTTCACGGCATTCGTTAATGCAAATAGTACATTCCAGTTACATAACGTTAAAATATAATAAATTTGAGCATCCAGTTTCACGTTTTCCCTAAGTTGTAATGTTGTAATAAAATTGCAGTCCTTACTTTATATAGAAAACCAAGCTTTTGCCATTTGATTATGATCAATGACATTTTAAAAGCAGAAGTTCATGATAACGAAAATCATCACGTAAACAACACATATGCTTTCTTTAAAAAAAACATAAAAAACGTCTGTATTATTCTCAGGCTTGCATTGACCGCACCAACTAAGTTTTAATTCACTGCATTCACTGTGCCACCGAACGGATGGAACAATAAATAAAGGAGAGTTGACATACAGAATAAACTCATCGATTAGTCCATAAACGTTTTCTCGCTATACTGAAGTGTCGTTGATGAATCTCAAATGTATATATATATATATCGCCAGAATATCGAAGTCTATCATATGTACTATACCTGATTTCAGGTAGGAGAAGCTCCTCAGGCGAAGCCCCCCGCTCTTTGCACTTTTATAAGCGAACGCTGGAGAGGAGGCGACCGGATTTACAACACCTCTCACCTCCTCTCCAGCGTTCGCTCGTCAAAATGGGGAGAGCAGAGGGCTTTGAGGGAGGAGTTTGTCCTGCCTCTTTTAACACGCAACAGGGTATAACCGCAGGGTTAGTCGAGACCGGTTATAACGAAGTCGGTTATAACGAAATAGCGGCAACAGCGAAGCGATCACGATTTCCCATTTCCTTCTGCACTTCGTTAGCCGAAGTCGGTTATAACGAAATAGCGGATATAGCGAAGTGATTTCCAATTCCCATTGACTTCAATTAAAACCGGTCTCGACCTCCAGAAACCGTGCGTAAAGCGCCGTTCACACTCTTGCGACCGAGTAAGACCGAGAGAGACCAGACCGGTTTTTACGCCTTTTGCGACTTCTTAGGACCGGATGCGATGCAGCGGAGCTGGTCCTAAGAGATCGCGAGAGGCTTAAAAACCGGTCTGGTCTCTCTCAGTCTTACTCGGTCGCAAGATTGTGAACGGGCCTTAACGCCCCGCACTGAAGGACGGCTTTCCCCTCAGCACGTGGGTGCGCTGCGGCCGAGCAAGATATGCAAAAATTGCGACGCCTACCATGCGGTTGCTTCACTGCTGTACACCGTGGCGCGGTTACAAGCGCCCTCAACGATGTGGCCATCCAACCAAAAAACGAGCACGAGAAATATTGCGAAACTTCCGAGTATACTGTCAATGTTTGATACAGAGATCAAATCGGATAGCATGTTATTTGAGGCGATAACCGAACGTTTTGGAAATTCGCAAGGATTGCCGTAAAGACCTAGAAGTGTATCGGAGCCTGATGTATTATATATTCGGTGCTAATAAAGTGGAAACAAGATTTGGAGCAACGTTAGCGCAAATTCCTCACATTTTGGCAAAATGTAGCAAGATGTAGCGTGGTAATTAAGCGCTTTGGCACACTTTGGCGCCAACAGTGCATGCAGTTCGGCGCAAATGGCTCAGTTCCGGCACAAATGGCGCAGCAATTATATCTCAATAGTTCACCAGTGTATATTGGTGTGTTCAACTGTACTCGTAGTCAGATCAAGAAATATGTTCAGTTTTCTGCATTATTCACGCGCTGACGCGCTGAGCGGAGTAGTCTCTACGAGGTTTGGTTGTCGAAGGAAAATAGAACGCTGCTTTTAAGCGTTTGGAACGTGTACTTCTTGATAAAAATACACCTAGATAAACTAAGGTGCAGCTACGGTTTGCCGACCGCCAAAGCACGAACTACTTACGCACGAAGCGCTTCCCGCTTCGCGTCAGACTGACGTCACGGACGCGCTCTAGAAACAACACAGCTGATTTCGTTTCACGATTGCTGCTAACCGCTTCTTCGTGCGGGAGAACCGAGTGGGTCTGCTCACGGGCGGGCTATTTCCGGAGAAAATATTTGCGAGGAGAGTCAGCTTGGGCCGAAAACACACACGTTCTATAATGGCGTCCGTCTGCGTAAGGAAGACGAGAAAACAAACGCTCTATTTCACCGTACGATGGCCATCGAAGCTAATCCAATGCGGAGAGCAGGGGCCCTAAACTCGTCAAACACAAAGTTGGAGCCGAAAGTTCGCAGAGCGCGCTGATTGGACGTTGGCGAAAAAAGCGCGAAGTCATCGTCGTAATAGACCAATCGGTGCGCTCCGTCAATTTCGGCCCCAACTTCGTGTTTGACGAGTTTAGGGGCCCAAGTCGTCTGCTTCTTGCGCAGGTGTTGTAGTGACGTCAGAAGGACGCGGAGCTCTGATTGGCTTTGATTGCCAATACGATCAGCCAATACGAGCTCGGCGTTGTGACGTCATCGCAACCCCTGAAAAAGAAGCAGACGAACTTGCGCTCCGCCTGTCGTGAGTGTCACGTGATTTTCGAGTTACGTGATATATACAGATTTCTGAATTGTCTGAAACTGCGCTGCGGTCCATCGTAAGGTAGAACGGAGTATAGTTGACCTCGAACAGTTTAACAATTGGAAGCAGTCCATATGGGCCACTGCTCAAAATTCAAAAGGTGCGACTTTAGTGCCCTTCACCGCTAGACGGTTTTGAATATAGACTACAGGGTAGGCCCACAGAGCCCCGTATATGGCATGCTATAGCCGTATCCCATGATGGTTACTTCCTAAGACAGAAAGTCCAAGTCGCGCTGGCCCTAGGTCATCTCCAAAACTGCGATGACTTCCAGAGATCATTCTGAGCCCGCGCGCTTTATCATTTATGAACACGTGACTTCACCGATGAAATACCAATCATGCTACAGCCATTCCCAAATATTAGTATCAGTGCGTTTTTCACATCAACTAAGTTCTGGGCGGAACCACTCACTGAAGAACGGATGCGTGTGCTTGCCTGATACCTTCCCAAGAAAGCCAAGAAAGTCTCTCAATATCATACACATGCCGCGTGTGAGCAAAACCTCGAAGTGCTCCCCTTTAATATTCACCTTCATATTTATCAACGACTTGTGTAACCAAGTACGTGGCTTGCGCGTGACATCATTGCACCATGCTGGCGGTAATCCCTACTTGTTCTTACCGAGAAAAACATATTCTGTGGTGTAAAAAGCAAGCTCCAAAAGATACGCGTTCAGCGGCAAGGCCACAACGATTGCCACTGGTGTGACATCAGCGCAAGCCGTGTATACTGCACTGCGAGCTGTAAACAACCGAAGCACACCACCGGACCAATAGGACAGCGCGCGTTGCCCAGTGTCATAGCCTCCTCTATGCTCACAAAAGATGTCAGTTCGACGACGAAGCCATAGAGTGCCCGGTCGCAGACTTGGAGCGCGAGTACCTGGTAGCCTTAGAGCATCAAAGAGCCATTTCTCGGAAAACCTTGACGTCAGCGCACAGCTTTTTCAGTGGCGAGGACCCGAAGCGCACTTGTTCGCTTGGGAGAACTGTGTTTCGGCGTCTCGCCGCAGCGGGGCGCCAGTCACGTGGCTCTCCTCTCATCCATTGTCTGCCGCTCCATCTTTTCCGTTTCGGCGGCCGCTTCTCATGGCGATCTGCCCGGCTTTGTCAGCATGTAGGAGGCTATGCCAGTGTACTCCCTAAAGAGGTCCAAAGTGTGATGCGCGGGCTTTTCCTGATCACCCCAGGGAACTCCGCGAGCACGCAAACCCGCTCAGCCTGTGCTTCCGCGACAACGAACTGGAGCGCCAATATGGCGGAACCTGCGACGTCAGCTGTTGCATCTCCGTAGCCGCCTGGCCCCTGGTGGCCCTGTGCTCGGCGGCGGCCTACCCGCTCGGTCACGTGACTGCCTTGGGCTCCTACATGGCCGGCCTGGTGGCACTACTGGCCCTGGCTGCGGCCTGCCTTCTTCCATTCCTCGCACAGGTAATGGCGCGCAGAGGACGCTGCCAGAGCACGCAGCAGTCAATTGTCTAATAGGGCACTTGTCCAATAAGAACGTCAAGTTGGATAATGAGCCCTGAGCTTGCACAATGAGCGATGAGCTTCGGGTGCCATCAGTTCGGACTCATCACAATACTGTTAAAAAGTCAAGTCCGAGAATAGGTAACTATGTTCTAAGAACTAATTTCATTTTTGCCTTGGTCGTGGGCACCACGACAGAACAGCACACACGAAAACAGCACGAAACAAAACAGAACGGTCAAAACAGCGCGCGTCAAAACAGCACGCGACAGAACAGCACGGCGTCAACGCAGCAGAGGGACAGAAGGGCACGTGCCAAAACAGTCAGTGACAAGACAGCGCAGCAACAAAACAGCATGCACGTAATGCATGCTGTTTTTTCGCTGTAAGAAGTTCCTACAGCGAAAAAAAAAAAAAAACCGGCATGCACAGTTTACGTGCGTGCCGTTTCGTTGGAGTGCTGTTTTGTCGAGTGCTGTTTTGGCACGTGCTTTTCTGTCGCTCTGATGCTTTGACGCCGTGCTGTTTTATCGCGTGCTGTCTTCACGCGTGCTGTTTTGTCGCTGTGTTGTTTTGACGCGGTGCTGTTCTGACCGTGCTGCTTTATCACGTGCTGTTCTGTCGCTTTCTCTTCGTCGTGACGTCATAGGTATGAGATGCGAGACGACGCCACTTGAACTCTGCCGGAGTGTGCGGAACAGTTAAACCGTGTCTCCGAGTTAAATCGGCAACAACTTCTCCGCTCGGCCTGCCTTGGAATAGATTTCACGTGACCAGGCCAGTTATAATTCCCTCCCAACTCAGTCAGCACAGCGAAAATTCATATCGGGTATGACTTGCTCGAAAACATCCACCCGCAGTTGTGTTGTGTCAGTGTGCATGTTTAGACATGCGCGAAGTGAGCCAGCCCCAATGGACGTTTGATGTCTCCGCTGTAGATGAAAACTTCTGCCAGGGCAGTACCACTTCTAGCCTGGTGTCTAACGTGAATGACGCCGATGTGATGCACGACCGCACGCCGGTATCGGCTACCCTACAGGCCCCTACGCACAGTTGTGTCTGAGAGCGTTTGAGTGACTTTGACTGCGTTTAATTATACGGTATACGGCTGCGAGAAACCAGGAAATCTCTGACTTTCATATCGCGTGCCAAGCTATTCCTTGAATTGGATTCCAGACTTCGTACGAAGCACAGGTGTGCCGGCGACTCGCTCTCGTTTCTCGACGCAGTGCAGTCGAATGCACTCAAACGCAAATGTGTATATCGGCCTTGAAAGGCCTATAGAGTTAACAGTTGGCGCATTCTTGCACAGACAGCACCTCGTCCGGCGTCTATGCTGTCTTCAGCTGTGCAGAGAAGAACCTGGGCCCGACTCCTGGTCGCTCTGCTGGCCGTCCTCCTCTGGGCTGCCATGCACTTGGCCACAACGGTGAGCCCGTCAGCCGCCTTTAAGCCCTTCAAATCACTGAGAATTGGATTCAACGCAGGACTTAGAGTTGGTTTCGCACAATCATACTGCGAGTCACGTATTGCTCATTTCTGTTGTCGCTATTTCATGCTCTAAGTTCTTGACGTCCTTCCTTACACTCCGCCCGCCTGTAAAGGTTGCGTGATTCCGACGTGCAAAAACTCCCGATTAGACCGACAATGTTAACCAGGTAGTTTAAGTTCAATCTCAGTTTTTAATTAGTTTTTCGACCAGAGCCTGCTTACAAGTCTCGTAATGTAGTCGTGCAGTCATCGTTCACAGTTATTTGCCTCCAATGTTAACAATGCGATTTCAGTTCACATGCTGGGCCTATGTCATCACGCTACACCTTGCATCGATTTTCTTGTTATGTTGCAGCTTGCTAAATGTCCGTAATTATACGCGCCTTGCTAAAATCCCATAGAGGGACTGCAGTATTTATAAAAAAAATTAATCAAATAAGATATCAGTTTAACTAACCCCTGAGTCTCCAGACAACGATAGGGTCAAGATCTTTTCAACAAAACGATGCCACTCTCATTAGGTAAGTGTAAAACCTCCAGAGACAACAATTGCGTCAAGGACGACAAAGGATCTTGATCATTTGTTCCAACCCCGCTCACCCCCGCGTGATCACCAATCATTATTTCGGTGTGACGGCTGTCGATCTTATTCGAAGCAACTATACCATTAAAAAATAAAAATAAAAACTGAACTGAAAGTGACTGCAACAGACGCCGAGAGTAAGACCGTGAAGGTCCCGACCCCCTCGCAGCTCCTGGGGGCCTCTGAAGAGCCCGAGCTCGGGAGGACCGCGCGTCACACGACAAGCGTGGCGGTGCTCGCCCTGCTGGCCGTGGCCGTCCTCGTCCGGCTCAGCTACCTCACCAAGCTCGCCTTCCTGTTGCTCATAACGGCGCTGCAGTGCGCCGTCAACCAGGTCGGGCCCATTCTGACGCAGTTCCTGGCCGCGATGCCTCGGTGAGCTTGCATGCGTTGACCATAGCTAGATGTTCAAGAAACTGGACTGTAGCAATGGTAGACTATAGAAGCTACACCGTAGCTACGATGGGCCAAACGACTGTCTAAGCAATGGTGGGCTAGGAGGTTGATCATTGCTTTGGTCAGCTGTAGAAGGCCGACGATAGAAATGGTGGGCTAGAAGCTTGACCATAGCCATGGTGGGCGAGAGGGCTGACGATACCAATGTTGGTCTCTAAGGTTGACTATAGCTATGGTGTACTAGAAGGTTGACAAGAGCAACGGAGGGCTAAAAGGTTGACCATAGATGTGGTGAGCTAGAAGGCTGACCATAGCAAGGTGGGCTATGGTGCATAGCCCGGGGGATCGGCGGCCGAGTGCGTTCACCACAGCTCGGAGTACGTGGGTCGAAAGCTCATTCGGCAGAACCCAGACATCCTGAGTTCAATCTACACCCCTGCCCGTTTCTATCTGGATGAGCATCGTAGCCAGGTGCGACCGTGTAACCTTTACTGAGTTTTGCATCTTTAAAGGGACACTGACAGGGTATTTATAATCGCCGAGGTTTTTCCGGCCAGTTCTCGATCGGCGGTTTTCGAGCGGAAAGAAACCGAATTTCGAGCCGCAAATTCGGTTTTGGGTAGTTGGGCTCTTATATGTCACGTAACTTGTACGTCACATATAAGAGCCCAACTAACCAAAACCGAATTTGCAGCTCGAAATTCGGTTTCTTTCCGCTCGAAAACCGCCGATCAAGAACTGGCCGGTTTGAGTCGCGCTCACTCTCTTTTCCGTGGTCACGGGCCGTTTTCTAAGGTTTCGACGCGACCACCAAATTTAATCAAAGTCGTGGGTCATTGAAGGCACACAGTCAATACTAAAAATAGAAAAAAAAATATGAAACCCATATTTGTGGCTTCCAAAAAGCTGCAAATACGTTGATTGAAAAACTTTCAGCCGTTCGACTCTGGTGAAGAAGGTAGACCAGCGAAGCTGTACTATGGTGGGACGATCTCAAGGACGACTTCTTGGACGACCTCAAATACGACCTCAGGGACGACATTTAGGACGACCTCAAGGATGATGCATAGGACGACCTCAGGGACGACGTCTAGCACGACCTCAAGGACGACCTCCAGGACCACGTCAAGGACGACCTCAAGAATGACCTCTCGGACAACCTCTAGGACGACCTCAAAGGCGACTTCTAGGACGACCTCGAGCACGACATCTAGGACGGCACCTAAAGAAATTCAGTCCTTCCACTCTGGTGAAAATCAGAGTGGAAAGGCTGAAAAAGTTGCCGCCATCTATGAGCGAGGCCGGCAAGCCGGTTGTCTGGTTGCCGCCGTCGCTCATAGATAGCGGTAGCTGTCCAGAGTTTTGTGTTTACATTTGTTTGGTACCGGACGCAATCCTAGAGAACCAAGCCCTTAACAGCTCCGCTGTAAAAAAAGGTTGCACAGACAACCGGAAGCATTCTGTGCGTTCACTGCATAATTCTCAACATGGCGTCTTTTCGCGTTTCGTGGGACTCGCGGGTGGCAGCGGACGACAGGCGTGGGACCTCTACTTCAGAACTGTTGTTCATGGTACCGGCAAATTATGTCTTCCTTTGAAAGAGAAATTTTGGACCGATCAAAAGAATTGATATTCATCCCGTACGACACTCCCGACCAGCAAGCCGATTGCACAGAGCCGTCGCCGAGCCGTCGTCCCTTCTCGTGGCTGAAGACATTGCTCGCTCAAACGTCAAGCACGAAGTGCGTACATCGAGTTGAATACGCACGCGTACGCTTTCTTTACTTGGTGCGAATGCGGCCAATGCGTGCTGCCGTGGTGCTGCCCGACTTCAATCCGGGAGTGCATGTACTGAGGAAAATCGACAGCCAACTTTCCGACATACACTCGACCAGATGCATTACTACAAACGAAGGAGTTCCTTCAGTAGCTTGGGGGAGGGGGGCGGGGGGCTGCGATTTATTTCAATAACAGGGGCTCGGGGCTCCCCCGGGTTCTCTCTTTGCCTAAACGACACTGTAAGGTGGCCAAGTCACCTACGAGAGGAAAGATGAGCTCCAGCGGGAACAGTACGACGGCATTTGATGGCCAGGTTTACAAGACGACATCGGAATCTTCAGACTACAAGGTTATACTTCCAAGACTACCGCAAGGTATGCTCGTCACTAACTCACTATTCTTACATGCTGACATCACTGGAAGGCCGTACAAGGCAAGCGACTTTAAGGACGCAATATTTTCTATCGTTGGTTGGAAGGACGTCTTGGGCTTAGGCCAGTATCAAATGAGCCACGTATGGATGGTGACCTTCGGAAATGCTGCAGCAAAGCTCAAGATCAAAGCTTACGAAAATTTCATTATCAAAGTAACTATAGTAATCGATCCATGCAAAGAAGAGATCAAGATTAAGCTTTTATGGCTGCCAATTCCTATGCCAGACTCCGAGGTCAGGGAGGTTCTAGAGTCGTTCAGGACAGTCAAGGACATGAGAAGAGAAACCTGGAGATTTTCAGGACTAGAGGATCTCGAAACAACCCGAGAAGTGACCCTCGTCCTGAAGCAGGACCTGACGGTGGACAAGATCCCACATCTCTTGAACGTGTATGGGTCCCATACGCTCGTCGTCATCCCTGGAAGACTACCACTCTGCCTGAGGTGCAAAGGAATCGGGCACATCCGCCGGCATAGTTGCACTCCTCGCTGCAGGCAGTGTTGGAGATTTGGTCACACAAATGAAGAATGTGTAGCGACGTACGCCTCAAAGCTTCAGGGGAACGCAACACCAGACGCTGATCATAGCGAACATATCATGGATGTGGAGGAAATGTTCAATGAGGAAGTCGAACGGACGCAAACGTGGGATGACCCAGCAATCCAGAATAACTACCCTCCTTGCAGCCTCAACGCAAGCCCATCGGAGGTACAAAGGTGCAACGAAAGCACCTCCCCAACACCGCACCCAGAACCAGGAGAAGCTACTGCAAGCAAAGAAAAGGGCTGAGAAAGCAATCCCTGCAAACCAAGAAGGTGGCCGAGACTAAGAAGGAAGAACATCATTGCAAAAGAGTCAAAGTTGACATCAGCGAGAACTTGACGGGAGAACCGGAAGCCATAAATATGCTGCTGGACTCCACCTAGCCGCAAATACGGCTGGAACCCAAAGAGCAGCAGGTGAAACCCAAATTCAAAGACCGAAAAACAACCTCCCCGGCAGCTTCCGAACTCGACCCAACGCACGTATAAGAATCCCCTCACGACCACCCAGATAAGTCCCATCAAAATTTCCACCATAAATGTGCGAGGGATAAATTCGAGAAAAAAACAATACCGACTTTTTCGTTTTGTACAAGAACATGACAGCGACATTGTGACCTTGCAAGAAACAAAAGTATGCGAACAAAACACCTTATTTTCGGGATGCAGCTTGTGGAAGGATTCCTGCAATCTCTTTCACTGCCTTGATGTTGACTACTCTGCAGGGTGCGCAGTTCTGAAAGATCTAAAGTACAAAATGTGTAGTATTCCCCAAGGTGCTGACAGTGGTCGTCTAATGGTAGCTAACATTATTTTGCAAGATCAGCCCTGGCGCATAATTGTTGTGTATGCATACAATAACGCAGCGCAAAGGGAAAGCCTTTTCTGTCAAGCTAGAATTCATGCCAACACAAGATTTAACGTGATTCTGCTTGGGGACTTCAATTGTGTAATAAATAAGAAAGATAGAGTTCCATCACTAACCATCGTAGATCCAAGCGCTGAAGCCTTAAAAGCACCGGTTCAAGACTGCGACCTGATAGATTCAGCAACAGATTACGCACTCTGTTTTACACACTTTCAATGGTCTTCCCATGCACGTTTAGATAGAATATATATACCTGGGTCAGTTAATACTGCACTAAGAAACTACAACGTGATCCGTGCATTCTATTCTAATCACTGCATGGTGCAAGTGCGTGTAGGTATAAAAACGCCCCAGGAAAAATAGAAGAACAACCTTCTTGGTCACTTCGGAAACGACTTTATAAAAGGTGTAGGATCAGCGCTAGAGATACTTGAATGCACCAAAGAAGGCTGGTGTTAAAAATGGGAATCTTTTAAATTGGAGATAAGAAAAATTGCAATAGAAATATCATTAATTGTTGCGCATCAGGAAAAAATACGAGAAAGCCGTCTGAACAATGACATCCTTTACCTGTACCGTTTGGAGTGCCAAGAGCCCGAAAAATACAAGGATAATATAAAGAATATAAAAACACAAATGAAAGAACACGATAAAATACGCTATGAAGGCGCCTGAGTTCTGCAGCGCGAGCTTTCGCTCCACGTGCTCAGAGCTGGTGTGGCTAGCCCACTCGGCCCCCTCATTTGAGAGTGTTCTCCAAGTAGTCAATGCTGTCATAAATCCGTACTAACCAAGAGCTTCCGCGTTATTCACCTGCACGACGATTGTTCTCGAACTTTCGCTAACTGCCGCCTTCCCGCCCAGGGCACCGCTGACTCACGGCGACGCGCAGAGCATCTACCTGGCCGTCATTGCTCTGGCGCTGGCCCTCGTCTCCAGACAGGCGAGTACCTGCCCAACACCTCCTAGACAACGAGTGCCTATTAGCGCCGAGATGTTTCGGTGGCGCCCTCTTATGGTTTCTCTCCGTGAAGTCACGACTGAGATTTGCCTGGCCGTGACGTCACCAGTTGTTATTCTGGCTACTTACCATCGGGTGCCACGACGAGTTCGATGGTGTGTTTAAAAAGCAGAGTAAAAGCTAGGAGCCATCGCAATCCGAAACTAACACCGTCAAAGTTGACAATCTGACAGTGCTCATATGCCCATGGTTTGGCCAATCGTGGAAAGCTGACCACAGCGACGCTTTTGGCCGCGCACATCGCTAATAGTGCTAGGTTTTCTACGCGTCACGTGACCGGGGGACAGTGCAGGCCACACATTGGACGGGAGTGCCACGTCAGCGTTCGGGTACGATTCGTGCCCTCGCCGATTGGATGCGAGTCCCAGCCCGATCGCCAAAGGCACCCCTTATGTCCAATCAGCGTCATTTTCACAATGACCAGCTCATTTCGACGATGGCCGAAAATGGAACACGTACAGGAACAAAGTAGCCCCAAAGTGCCCTATATCCTCACAACGTCCAAAAGCACGAAGTCCGTTGAGCGTTCAACGCCGTGAAATGTGCCAGATCGTCGCAACCAAAACCCGCGCGTCTGTGAGGAATCTGGGACGCAAACGTCTCGCCGAATCGCTCCTCATGTCGGGCATCTTCTAAAGTAAGGACACGTTCGAAGGACGCCCTGCCAAGTTCCCATTTCGGGACGATATCGCAGCCGACGCGCGCATCGCAGATCCCGATCCGGGATAGTTCTCTGGCAACTATTCATGCGAACAGGGCCATAAAACTCGCTTTCCTAACCGTCCATCCGTGAGAAAAGCGCAAACACCTCTATAGATTCGTCAGCGTAAGGCGCACGCGCGCGCTTTCGGAGCGAAAATAGAACTTCCGCAAATTCGAAATCGGGCATAAAACTCCAACGGCCCGGAAAACACCGTCGTGAATTTACGCCCGTCATAAAGCCGAAACCAAGTTTACGGCGAAAACAGAGCGAACAAAGGGCCGCCGTGCGGAGGAGCAGCCTGCATGGCTCCCTCGGCCGAAGCCAGCTTCCGCCACCGCCTGTATCCTCCGCCGCACTCTCCACGCTGCTTTCCTTGGCACGGTTCCCCGGGTGCCGCTTCCAACCGAGTCCGGAAAAAGCCTCCGGGGAGAGCGCGATCCGTCGAGCGACACGACTACCCTTGGATACATGCGCACCTGCCCCGGCCGTGCCAAGACCGAAGCTGTCAGCCGCGTCGTCCCTGGCCCGTGTACATGTGCCAACTCATAAAGCCGTACTGGTGTCCACACCTCCTTTGTGTGAGTGTGCTGCATTCCGTGGCGCGTGCTGGGAACGAACAGAGTTCAATCGTTGTTTAATCACTCGCTGTCTCGTTAACCCCGATTAAATTAGTCGAGCCGAGCTCCGAGGTTCCGTATACAAGGACGTCGTCTCTCCAAAACCACTGACTCATTTTAAAGCGTGGAATACGTTTTATCACGGAAGTACCTCTTCTAGATGCTTGTCTGTTCGTGCATCCGCGCAAACCCTATGACACGTGACGTCACGGAGTTACGTGACACCGTGTCGTGACGTCACACATGAACTAACGGTGACATGCTGACATCGTCACGTCACAGTGTGTGGGTGGCGACGCTGTCGGCGCGGCGCATGCCCAGATGCTTGGCCTCGTGCAAATCTGGTTTCCGCGCATCCGCAGTGCCCACACCTGGTGTGAGCGAACGCGGACATGTTCGTCAACAGTGTGTTTGGCGTTATAATCTATAGACCATAGTCGACGAACTGGGATTGCACGGCGGAGGCCCGAACCCTCCAGTTGCTTCTCGGAAGGAACATTTTACGAGCTTTCTCGCTTAACTCTCAGTCGGAAGCGACTAAGCGAAAAGGACGAAAGTGATCAGTCTCGCGCGCTAAACGGTAGAAGAGCAAAATATATATATATAATCACAACGTACTAAAAAGAAAAAAATGTCAAATTGCGTGATTATAACTGACCTTTTCAAGAACAGAACGTAAGGGCGCAAGTGAGCTGGTCTATATCGAACATTTTAGTGAAAAACCCGAGACTGATGTAATGACAGATGACGACAAGGAAGACACGGAGAACTTCTCAAACAGAGCTAAACCTTTGTTGAGGACAGGACCCTTTATATAGGGTTCCTTCTCTTCCTTGTCGTCATCTGCCAATCCCCCAGTCTCGGGCTTTTTCACTAAAAAGACCTTTTCACATTGCTCGTTGGGAAGGCACTGACAGAATGTTTGCGATTAACCAAAGAGAGAATAGACTGCTCTGGGAAAAGGGAAGACCACTTTAATTCTTACTAAAAATCATCAATCTAAAAGCAAAAAGAAAAAAATTGGTTACAATTTTAGGCGAAAGAAGGAACCGAGAGGTTACAAAGTTCGGCAAAAGGATAAACTATCTATTCACTGAGGTCTACAGGGAAAGATGCCTAGCTCAGCTTTCTAACATTTTTGGACTGAAGAAGAAAAACCGTGGCAAGACCCCCACAAAACCGTCACAGGTCCCTCGAAGACCGTCGCAAGACTGCATCAAGTCCTGCAAAAAATGAGGATAAACACGACGGAATCTGGACACAGTTCATCGTAGAGAAAAATTGGTACTTCATGCGCGTAAATATACGGACGTGCGGATTCGAATAAACGTGAACGCCGTAAGCGAAAAAAAAAAAAAATGCAAGTTTTGGTCTGATTTAGAAATGCGGCATATTCGGAGGTTACGGATATAAAGACTGCGTCATATAATCGTGAAACAGCGTCAAACATATTTCTAAAAAAAAAAAAAAAAAAGACAAAAAAAAAAAAAAAAAAAAAAGTCCGCCTATTGCTTTGCTTTTCGAAAGACCAAATTAAAAATAGTTCAGGAGCGCAAGCCCGCTAAGACCATTGCGGAAGCTCGTTTAAAAATACGGCCTGCGGGCTCCTAAAAATAAGGCCGTTTCGACAGCAGTAAAACGTTCGGCCGTCAACGTTTCGACAGCGGCAAACGCATTTAGCGCGCGCCTCGCTGTTTACAAACAGACGCATTGTCCGCGGAGCACTTGACACCTCCCGTCCGTCGGAGCAAAGTGTCGTTCGCGGGGTGCTTCGATCCCGCGCTGACGCGTCGACAAGTAAAAGGCCAAGCGCTGCGCATGCGCGCAGAACGTGCATTCCGTCTTCGTCCTAAATTGTACGTCACGTGCAACTAAAGACCGTCGGAAAGGAAGTAAATATCAGCGATTGCTTTTCCGATTCGGGGACGTCATCGATGGAGACCAGTCGGTGACAGACGAAAACACCGCACAAGTTCGTCTGCTTCTTTTGCAAGGGTTGTAGTGACGTCAGAATACCGAGGTGTGATTGGCTCGATTGGAAGGATAGTGGGTAGACCTCAAGGCAGATGGCTTTGAGGTCTACCCGCTATCCTTCCAATCGAGCCAATCAGAGCTCAGCGTCGTTCTGACGTCACCATAACCCCTGCAAAAGAAGCAGACGAACTGGCGCTCCGCGTCTAGCTGATCTAGGGCAAACTCGCTGATTGCGTCATTCCGCGAGCGATTACATCACGGCAGAGGAGCAGACCACAAGAAAAAGAACGGACGAGACGGGTATACCGTAGAGACGATGTCTGTCGGGAGAGGGTGCGCTTCATCGGAAGCCATTGTTCTTTCGCAGCTGGAGGTAACGTCCCGGCGGCTGTTCCTGTGGCGCAAGGACGTCGAGGAGCAGAAGGAGAAGGTGGCCGACATGAGGCGCAAAAACGAGGCCCTCGTCTACAACGTGCTGCCGCTGCACGTGGCCAAGCACTTCCTCGGACGACGGAGGCACGACGACGTGAGCATGCCGTTTGAGTCCAGTCATATCGATGTATTTTACCGCGTATCTGGCGATCGCCAGGTCACTCGGTCAGTGCCAATGGAGCGCGCCCGGATGTGTGTTCGGAGAAGTTTGTGGACTAAGTCAATGAGTCTATTTTGGCATCTGATTGGCGCGCTTCCATGTCTTCAACTCAAACGATGGGGAGGGCTAGTCTCTAACTGGCGGATTTCAAAAGAATGAATATGAAAAAATGAATAAACATAGAGCAAACTGGATATAAGAAATTTAGAGCAGAAAGACTGCGATTTCAATGCCAAATTTTCCGGTGGACACAAGTGCCCGCGAGTCACCTCTTATTACCTAGGGCTGCAAAGTGTGGCAGCGGAATTAATGTTGCCCGGCAAGCGACAAAATCCAAGAAGGTTAAAATCTATCTGTTACTGTGTTACAAAAAAGGGGATGGGTGGGGAATAACTAATTTTATTTATTTTTTATCAATTGCGTAGAATATACGAGCATCTCCATCGGTCCATTACGTTGGAAAGCCACTCGTGGTGGCCTCACTGAACCCCAGCAGTGGTCAGATGTCACAAACCAACAATGACCTCGCAAAGTCCGAGCGAACCTACATAAAGGTGTCTCGGCAGTCGTTTCAATGCACTCAAAGTATTGTCTGCTTTACTTTACCGGGCCCAACATAAGCGGCGTGTCCGAAAAAAAATACACACACGCACGCACGCACACACACACACATGCACAGGCTGTGGAAAGTGTCACGTGTCTCTGCATGCTGGAACCAGCAGAAAAAGCTCGTACAGGGCTCACAGTGTCGCGCTGCGTGCACTTTCCTAAACACAGATGTTCGTAAGGAGTCAAGAAAAGCGTTCAGGCTGCATAATCCGAGTGACGTATCTACATGCTTAACAGTATGTATAGAGGTTTAGTCTAAACATCGGGACCGGTGCACTAGCAGGTTACAAACATACTTTAATTGCGAAGCAAGCGATCGCGTAGCATTAATAAATAATATTGATAAACTGACGGACGGCTCGTGTCACGTTGAAGAGAAAAAAATGCCGAAGCGGCAAAATTTAGGTAGGCTTCACCGTTTCGGCGTGCACACGCGAGTCAATCTTCACCGCTTTGCACCGGTGCGTTCGGAGAAGAGGCGCGAAGGGGCAGCTCGGTTAGCGAGGCGGGAGTTAGAGAAGCAGACTTGTATACGTAACAAGTTACATGTAACTGGTAACTTGTAATCAATTACATTTTATCGTAGTTTTTTAACGCCTCAATTAGTTTTATTCTTTCTGCAATAACGTTCGCTGTAATCCAATTACTATTTTTTTTCTGCAATCAATTACAAGTAATAAATGTTATGTTTCCGAAAGAGCGAAAATTATTGAGTTGCGTTTTTTTTACGCAAAACGTATCGCTCTGTCTGCCTCTGCGTCACTCGTCTACGTTGCACCAACGTTTGACACTTTTTTTTCCAACCCCGAAACAACTAAAGAAGGATACCAAGATACCAGAAGGTGGGGTTGTCAACGCGCTCAGCGACGTTTTTTTTTTTTTGACAGTCGAGCTGTCGAGAGTCTCTCGTTTCCTGTGTACAGGTTGTTACGATCCGAGTTTGCCTCGGCATACACGACTGCGTTCTGCACGGATCTCATCTAGCCACGACAAAGGCCCTCCCCATTCCATCTAGAAAAATAAATAAAACTAAAAATGTAACTCCTTTGATGCATTGTATGCACCAAAAATGCTGTGTGTGCATTTTTGATTACGTAAAAAAAAAAAAAAAGTTAAAATAGTAACGTGAAAGTGATCAATTACTTTCTGGTAACTTTTCGATCACTTTTGAGATGCGGTAATCGATTACTGTAATCAGTGACGTTTTTCAATGAAGTAATCGTAATTGCAATCGGTTACTTTTTTTTTCAGTAGCGCGTACAAGACTATACAAACTTCGTCTCCCCTTACGATGGACTAAAGACAACAGTTACGGACCGCCAGATCCGATCACGAGTCACTTAGAAATTGTGAGGTATTTTCCTTCGATGCACGTATCACTGCCCGCGTCTCGGATCACTAATGGGGATGGGCGGACAGTGGTTTAAATCGAATAGCACTGAGTGACTCGTCAATTTTACATTGCAAAGAAAGCCACGACATGCAGGCTCTTTGCAGTGTCAAAGCTATAGAAATGATGCGGCGCTCTTTGATTCGGAGCATTATTCGTCCACCCCTAATCAATGTTAAGCATGTCATAGCTTATCGTGGAGCGTCATTGGGCATGGCGGACCTGGCTTTGGCCTTTAGTCCATCGTAGGATGGGACAAAGTGTAGAAGTCTTGGCGCGTTCTTTGCTTGTTTATTAAACGTTCCAAAAGTAGCGGGTGCGAGCTTGTTGTAACATGGGAGGTTTATGTAACGGAACGCGGACACCTTTTTCAACGGTGACCGCGTTTCCTTACATAATCCTAGGGAGAAGTGAAAAAGTCACAAAGCAACACGGATATTTCGGGCACAGGGTATGCCGTACAATATTGCGATGTATCAAGACCATAATTATTGCCGCGAACATGCAGTGAACCGAAGTACATAGTCTCGGATAGTTGCCAGTTTCCTTTTTTTTTTTTTTATCACAACAAGCCTGAACAAGCTGACGGCCCTGTCTGTGAGTGAAGCTGTAATTCTAGCAATTAGCCCGAATAACCAGGTACGAAAACGTCAGATCAAAGCCAGACGGAAGAATTTCATATCAAGTCTAGATCTGAGATTGGGCACTAAAACATGTCAAGTCCGATCGAGGTCAGATTCCAGTCTAAATTTGGTGTGAATTATTTTCTTCGAATAGATGAACATGTCATTTCTTCCTAATAAAGCTATTTATTAATGTATCCAATAAACATGACAGAACACATAAGATCATATAATAAATTATGTCTATATAATTTAAATAAAATTTGACATTCTTTTTGGACAAAGCCAGACGGAAGAATGCCATATCAAGTTTGAATCTGTGACTGGGCACGAAGAAATGCCAGGCCTCAATCAGGTCTGAATCTATAGCCTAATTAAAATTGTTTTTTTTTTTTTTTTTCAAATAGATCAAGATGTTAATTTTCCCAAAAATAGCTTTACGAATCTCCCCTATAAACATGCCAGAACATGTATAAGTAATAACTAATATGTGTTATATAATTTATATAAGATCTGATATGTGTATTGGACATTTACGAAATTTTTCTGTTTTCAACAAGATTGTATTATACTGTTCTACAGCACTTCGGCGCCGATGAAGTATGTGCCGAACTAGATGTCGCCTCCAAAACAATGGCGGCGGCGAAAGCATGTGCCGGCCAAACGATACGTGGGGGCCCATAACCGCGCGTCCATTAATCGATGGTTCGCGTCGCGAGATGACGCAAACGACCGGATGCCAGGAGAGAACAGCGCCAAGCAGCCAATGGAGGGGGCGACGGGGCGACCGCAGAGTGCATCGTTTGTTCCCCCACTCGAAAAATGAGAGTGCTCTAAATATACGGCGGTGGGCCCTCGATTTCCCCGCACTCGAGCTAATGGCGTGTTATATCGGTGATAGAGGGGCCGCCGCCGCGTGCTCCGAGCCGCACTTCTCGTTAGCGTCGCAAGCATGCAGCAAAGGCGACGACGCGCATCTCGGAGAGATGCGCGTCGTCCCCGGATGTTCCGGATAATGCTGCGACAAGAGCGAACTGCCATCATCAACCAGAAGGATCGAGGTTATTATGCCTCGTCGCTTTGACGAGGACTCTTTTCTACTTTGTTTCACGATGAAGGCCCGCTCACGCACTCGCGTTTGCCTTAGGACCGAGTTCGTGCGACGTCTTACGGTGAGTGGTCCGCTGGCGCCATCTACAAGGTGCTCCTGGAACTTCATTTCACCAGAGCGAGACCGAGTTGCCAGATCAAATGCACGCAACATCTATCTGAGAGATAATCGTTTATACCGCCGCCAAAAGCTTTTCAAGCCAAGAAAGAAAGAATAATGCGCGAAAGAAATAGGAAATGATCAAATATACAGAATAAAGAAGAAAAAAAAAAGTGCATGATTACGGCGCGTTCACTGCTTGTGATGGGTTTTAGCCGATGACAGCAAGCTTGCAAAGACGACGAGAGCCATGACGATGCATTTTTGGCGTTGCTTGATTATCACCATCTGGTCGTAGCGTCAGCTGCGTTCGGGACCTAATGTGAAACAGAGTATAGGAACTGTTTCTTCGTTAAATATATCAACGAATAGAACTGTCCCTCCACGAATGCGGTATATTAGTGCAAACGTGTCTGCTTTTCTCATGATATTGCGAATCTGTCTGCTTTTTACCAACCTGCTTTGGCCACACGGTTGGCCATTATGTTCAAAATAAATAAATAGCCTAAATACCCCGCTAACCCAAAGAACAACGAACTACGAAGTAGAAAGAGAGAGAGAGCGAGGAAGAATACGTTTCGTTATACGAGCGATAATGTAACCAACTTGTATAGTGGATTATGACATCTGAAGCTGAGTTGTGGAGCTTGTCCCCCAGTTCGAACCGTTTTTTTAGCCAATATCGGGACTTGGCTTCCGAGACTGCCGGAGTGCAAAAGTTATCCGGGGACCCTATAGGAAAGAGTAAAGTTTGGTCCGGTATTTACAACCGGTAGGCCCCAAACTCGGAGTATTTCAGATAAATACGATTCCGCAAAATATTTCTACCGGTCGAGTGTTTTATAGAAATATACTCATTCTATAAAAATAAGAACATTACACAAGCTTGATCGCAGTGAAAAAGACCGGGAAGAAGAGAACGCATTGAGCGCGAACCACGTGGGACGTGACGTCATGGTACGACGTGACGTCACAGGGCACATGACCCCACGACGACACGCGACGGCACGGTACAGGTGGCGTCAGAGTCACGCGAAGCCACGGCATCACGTGACGTCAGGGTATCGCGTGACGTCACGATTTGATGTCGACGTCACATCATGACGTCCCAATGGGCACTGCGCATAATATGTAACTCTGGAATCTGACACCTGGGACGTCGAGCCGTAGTCGCACCGCTCATACGTCCTACAAAAGACGCGGAGTTCTCCGCACACATGGCGACAGAATTCTCTGCGGTGCCCGCAGATTACTCTGTCAGCGTGAAAAACGAGTGTATGAACACATACCGTGTTGCCAAACACGCAACATTACGTACAATACGCGTTTTGCGCATTTTACGTGTGTAGGCGTCTCTCTTCAATACATACTGTGCCTAGAGTTTTTTTTTTTTTTTTTTTTTTCATTTTTGCTCAACTGGACTTTTTGTTAGAGCGCGTGTATATACCGAGCGTATTATCTGTTCCGCACACGTCCGCAGGAGTTGTACAGCAAGAGCCACGAGTCCGTGGGCGTGCTGTTCGCGGCCATGCCCAACTTCTCGGACTTCTACACGGAGGAGTCCGTGAACAACCAGGGCCTGGAGTGCCTTCGCTTCCTCAACGAGGTCATCTCCGACTTCGACGCGGTGAGAATATCCATCGGCCTGGGGCGGCAACGGAACGTCGAAACTCAATTCTCTAGTCGTATGTCATACGGTCGCACCGCTAACGCATCGTACGAAAGACGGTCTGCAAACGCTGCCTGAGGCACGTTTCTTTTAAGAGTTAACGCGAGGTGGTGCAAGCTACCGCCCGTTACAAAGGGTAGAGCCATTAACATCCATCCATTCATCTTCCTCGCAGACATATTTCAAGTGTACATATGTGTGAAGCAGACACGTTTCGAAGCCGCTTGAGACCTGTCCGTGGATATTTCTATCATTGCCATAGTCCATCTGCATCTTTGCAGTAAATTAAAGTAGCGCTTTGCGAAACCAACTGTTGTGGTCTATTTCACGTGGACGCACTTTAGTACTGAAAGTCTGACTGTATGATTTACAAGATAATGTCAAAGGGCAAATCGGGCGCCAGACGCCCAGTGTTGCCCACGTGCCCTTTACCCCTCTCTCTCTCTCTTTCCTTCTTTTCGCACGTCCTCAGCTTCTGGAACAGCCTCGTTTCAAGGACATCCTAAAGATCAAGACCATCGGGTCCAGCTACATGGCGGCCAGCGGTCTCAGTAAAGAAGACGAGCCGGTGAGTGCACGGCGACGATACGCAGAAAACTCTTATATCTAAAGTCCTTAATTAAAGAACAATTCCGCATCATTTTTGTTCCTGAAAAAAAAAATGCAGTCTTTTTCAGTATAACCTAGGAAGACCACACGTCAAATATTACGACCTGGTTCTGTCTAAATGTTTCTTAAACCGACCGGCAAACTTTGCAGCACGCTATGTTGCCGAAATCGGCTGACTCGAGCGGGGGCAAATTGAGGCGCAGCCAACAGCGCAATCAAGGCTACGGCGTTGGCGTAGCCAACAATGGGCGAAACGTCATCACCAGTGCCCCTTTTTGTTTGTTTTTACTTCTCGGGGTAAGGGGTGACGTCAGCAACGTTTCCTCTCGGGGCTCAGCGGTGTCCAAACCAACGCGTTTTCGTGCGCGCGTAGGCCGCCCGGCTCCCGGAAATTGCGCACGCTGATTCCGTGCGCCTTTCGGGCGACTGAAGTTCGACTGAAGTTTGACTTTTGTGCGCATGCGCGAAAATTACAAGAAACAGTGACTCCATCTGGTGGAGGAAAAGTTCAATAGTTGTTGGGTGTGTTGGCATCACTGGATCACACTGCTAACTAACGAAAGCATTTAAAGCGCATATTTTTCGCTTTTATACGGTGTCAAAATTAGTAACCATGTTATAAAATATAAAATAAACTACTTTCACATTTATTTGTTTCCCAGTGTTCGAAATATCCGTGTAGAAGCCGGGCAACACTGTTCATAATTTGAACTTCTTCGAACTTCGTGTATGGTCGAAGGTACGGCGAACCGGTCCAACTTTCAGGTTCGACAAACGTTCGCGACAGCCCTATTTATGTTTGTCCCGGGACGTCACGTCACGTGACATTCCATATTTCGGCACTGCGGAAAAATCGAATTCACCCCCTCCCCGCCCCCTCTCAGAATTTTGTAGGTCCCAAGCGACTCCCGGCCGCTCCGTCTCTGCAAGCCTGTCGAGCTTGCTGATGTGACCAGTGCTAGAAAGCATACATGCTACACGGAAAACACCTTTGGAGATTTAGCGGGCCTTCGGCTGTACGATTCGAAACGTCTTGGGGGAGACAAGTTGGGTTACAAGAATATCCGAAAAATGTGACCAGATCTCGCGCTTCTTGGTTCTTTTGGCGTTTGCCTGAAGAATCGGTGGTTAAATGTTGCATCGACATTTCAAGCAGCGGTCTTGAAGGGACACTGACGGGGTATTTATGCTCGCCAAGGTTTTTGTTTATAGACGCTTTGCAGCAGCTGTGCATGGGCACCGCCATAACTGGCCTTCAGTTTTTGTTTCCCCTTATTAAGTTTACTTCACTTCATCATTACCATAGTAGGCTAGGTTATTGCCATCTTAGATTTTATTCTGTCTTTCTCCCCAGCATTGGCCTTTGTGGAGGCTCGTCCACACCAATTTCAGTGCCTCGGTGTCTCGGTAAAACAATAGAAGGTCAGCAATGGCGGCTGTATTCTGGCGCATGAGTAAAGCGTCTATACATGACATGCGTACAAAGAAAACCGATTTGGCGATTAGATCATGTGCCTTTTATTAGTGCTTTTTAATTAAAAATAACTTATTATCCCGAAATATTAGGGAATCAAGCGGACTTGCCAAACTACCCAGAAAACAATTTGCGGCTCGAAACTCGTTTTCTTTCCGATCGAGAACTCGCCGGTTTGAGTCGCGCTCACTCTCTTCTCCGTGGTCACGTGCCCTTTTCTATGGTTTAAACCCAACCACCAAAGAAAATCAAAGTCGTGGGTCATCGAAGGCACTCACTCAATACTAAAAATAGACAAAAGATATGATACCCATTTTTTCTGACTTCTAAAAATCTGCAAATACGTTGTTTGGAAAAAAAAAAAAAGTAGCACAGCCACGTGACCTTTGGTAACTTTCTCCTCTATATTTGTTCTTCCTCCCCAGTGCAGTTTGGTTGTATTTTTTTTTCTACTTTATTAAAAAAGATACGTGACGCTGCAGCAAAATATTGATTGGGTACTCTTCTGACACCATAATAGATGACGGTGCTATCTCTGTCCTTCTTGGGCCATGTCTTCGGTTTTATTATGTTGTTTATTATTCACCAGCTCGCCTGTGCCCTAACTCTTCTTTCATAATCGATCGCCTGGCAAAACATAAACAACATTTTTTGGGAGGTGTCAGTGTCTCTTTAAGGTAGGCTTTGCTCATTCTTTTTATGAACCGGAAGTTCGCTGGGCCGTCAAAGACTGGAACACCGCCGGGTGGCGTTTGCAAAGAAAAGCGTCTATAGACCAACGCGCACTCTTAAAAAAAAAAAGAGAAAAAGCCCGCGTTTGGCTACACTAGGTGAGGGAGTGCGCAGAAACCAGACTCGCGCCAGAGGAAGAGCCAACGCATGCGCAGTACCGCCGACAGCAGCGCCACCGCCGCGGGTCGATGTCAGAGACTTGAGTTAGTCTATAGACCAGTGTCCGAAATCTTAGCCCCGAACGATAAAAAAAGCCAGATAATGATCTCCAACGCAGGCTCTTGTAAAGAAAAGAATTGCGCATAATTTTTTTTTTTTTTTGCTTTTTACGGCATTTTTGGCATCGGTGTTCATAGAGCTTCGTGACTATGCATTTCTGACGTTCTTGCGCTATACGCGATGTGCGAAAGTTTCTAAAAAAAAAAAAACGGAGTCTCGCAAAAGCGCAGTCGCCCCCTACTGTGTCATGGCGTCAGCATAAACAAACATGGCGGCGCCCATGCAACAGAGCAGATACTGGTCTATGTTATCTGCCGCTTCAGAAAAAAAAAAAAAAAAGAAAAAGAATAAAGTTTTGAGTAGTGTGCATCCCGCTTGGTTGTCAGAAAGCTTTTTGTGTTTGATACGTGCACGTTTTTATATAAAAATCTCACATTAAATGCTTATACATATCTTAATTCACTTTATCAGGAGAAGAATTAACAGCGCTTCGAAAAAAGCAATGTTTTTTTGTTTGTTTTTTGGCTTTTGAGGAGAAATTTAGTAGACAAAAACAGTCCTTTATCGAAACTTTTCTCTCGAAAGAATTCGGAATGGAAGAGTTCGTCCAACTCGAAGAAGGGTTTTGCGTCGCTCTACCACATCCATTTGTTTCCCCCGTTGACAATAAGCGTCAGTCTTCGTCAGAATAACCATAAGGGCCAAAAATAGACCCCCGAAGAACACATCCATTAGGTACGATTTTTGCTTCTTATCGCGAGCGTGTCGAAAAAAAACGCTTTTGGGACGATCGATACAACCATACTGTGATGCATGCATTGTTCTAATGCGCATCCGTGAAGAGAGAAGCTCCCCAAAGCTTCTACTACACCATACCAAAGCTCTCTATGCAGTGCTCGGATGGCCAGACAATCCAACAATCGCAAAAAGAAGAAGAAAAAACAGTACGTTAGTGTCACCCTTTTTCCCCCGTGGGGCCGCGTATCTAGAAGCTCATATGCACGTTCCTCGCTCTTTTTATTCGTTACCGTTATTTGTTCTACGGCAGGAAATTGGAGCTCCGCGTTGAGCAAAGAAAGGGGTAAACATGGTGTAAGTGAGGCGTCGGAAATCAACAAGAAGCAAACAAAAAAAAAAAAAAAAAAAAAGGTCCAGATTGCGCAGTAAAGCAAACGGAGCACATACCTGGACACGGAGCGAGTTCGGGGTTTTATGGTGTTTAGCTTGCCCCATTCCCCGAGGAATACAGAGAACAAAGTTCGCAAGGCCCTATTCTTCGGAGCCCACGTAGCGGCGTAAAAAGTTGCATCCTTTCGTTCTGGTTTTCTTTTTCCTTAGTATTTTTTTTTTTCTCTATTTAGGCTTAGGCCTATGTCAGCGAGTAAAACAACAGCAAAGAAGCTGCGCGCTGATACATAGCTTGCAAGTGTCACCATTGCTGGGTATAAACTGCCGGTTGTTTTTATGTCCTGGTTTCTTTGGAACCATCCGGAGAGCAAGTCGTCTGCTTCTTGCGCAGGAGTGGCAGTGACGTCAGAACGACGCCATACTCTGATTGGCTGATTGAAAAAAAAAAATAGTGGGTAGACTTCAAAGCGTCTAACAATGAGATCTACCCACTATTTTTCTTTTTTCAGTCGGCCAATAAGAGTTGGGCGTCGTTTTGACGTCACCGCAACTCCTGCGCAGAAGCAGACGACTTGCTGTCCGCATACGTACGACTTCTGCGGCGATGAACCGAACGCTCGTTGCACATGGAATACCGGCATGGCCGCGAATGAGGTTACGGGCAAGCTATATATGTATCTGTTTGCATCGACGCTGTCTAGAAAAAAATAAATTCACGTTTTATCGACAACAAGTAAAAAACCAAAAGGGAGAAAAACGACGCCAACAGTAAAGACGCGGAATCGGTTCGAACGATAGTCACCGACAACTTAAGGAACGCAGGGCGTGGCGAACTCCGAGCATCTCATTATCCCTCAGCAGCTAATCAGATTGCAGCATCGGTCCATAGGAATGCCCAAGAACCAATCAGGAAGCGAAGGAAGACTGATCATAATGACCACACTCTGCGTCTGGTAGGCTCAGTGACTAAAGGCGGAAGACACCGCTTACAAACGAATCCGCGTTTGCCCACACCAGGCCGTTTCTGCCCATACCGAGAGAGCAGAAACCGGATCCGCGTGAAGTGAAGCGTCTGCGCCTCGCAGACATCAGTGCCACCATAGTCCACCACAAGAAGCCATAGAGATCATACATACTAACTCTAGAGGAAAAGGTCCGCCATTTTCCCATACATTCTGGCTGCCGCAAGCGGCGGATCATGCAGGCAGACCCTCGGGGTCCCAAACACGGTTACATCATCAGAGCAGTTCCGTGAACTTCAACAATCCACGAACTTACCGGTGGAAAGATATTCGCGTTCCTTTCGAAGGTTTCTTTTTGCATAGCGCGCAGATGTACGGCCTCGCGTTAACGCTAAACTAAACCATATACCCGGCTTCGCCGGTGGGGCGCGGGTGGGCGCGGTT